CTCCATATAAACCTCATCCTCAAGATCACCGTGAAGAAAGGCATTCTTAATGTCCAGCTGATAAAGGGGCCAATGACGAACCGCAGCCATGGATAGAAAAAGGCGGACTGATGCCACTTTAGCCACAGGAGAGAAGGTATCACTGTAATTGAGCCCAAATATCTGAGTATATCCTTTGGCAACAAGACGAGCCTTAAGTCGATCAATCTAGCCATCGGGACCAACTTTGACCGCATAAACCCAATGACAACCAACAGTAGATTTACCTGAAGGAAGAAGAACAAGCTCCCAAGTAGCACTTGTATGTAAAGCAGACATCTCGTCACTCATAGCCTGTCGCCATCCTGGATGAGACAACACTTCACCTGTAGACTTAGGGATGGAAACCGAGGACAAAGAAGATATAAAAACATAATGGGGAGATGACAGACGATGATAACTCAAACCAACATAATGAGGATTAGGGTTAAGTGTGGTCCGTATACCTTTTCGAAGTGCAATCGGTGTACTAGGAGCAGGGTTCACAGTAGGAGCAGGGTTAGGTGCAAGATGAGAACCAGTTGGGCCTGATGTAGGGCACAGACGACGATGATAAGTCAAGAGTGGTGTTCCTGTGACTGGGGAACTAGGAGGAACAACACTAGACTCCTCAATGGTTAGTATAGGTGAAACCTCTATGTTCGAAGGTGGAGGAGGAGCTATAGGAAACTCCTCAAAGGTAGGTATAGGTAAGACCTCAGATATATCATGGTGGTTAGCAGAAGAAAAGAAAGGTTTAGACTCAGAAAATGTGACGTCAGCTGACATAAGGTACCTACGAAGATTAGGTGAATAACAACGATATCCCTTCTGAACACAAGAATAGCCAAGGAAGACACACTTGAGAGCACGAGGAGCTAATTTATCTTTCCCAGGGGCTAACTTATGAACAAAACATGTGCTCCCAAAAACACGAGGTGGAAGAGGGTATAAGGCTGACTGGGGAAACAATACTGAATGCGGAATCTGATCCTTGATGGGAGATGAAGGCATCATACTAATCAAATAGCAAGTTGTGAGAACTGCATCGCCCCAAAAACGCAACGGAACACGAGATTCAATTAGAAGTGTGTGAGCAGTCTCAATAAGGTGCCTATTCTTTCTCTCTGCAACCCCATTTTGCTGAGGGGTATAAGGACAAGATGTCTGATGAATAATTCCATGAGAAGTCATAAACTGCTGAAACTGAGAAGATACATATTCTAAGGCATTATCACTGCGAAAAATGCGAATAGAGACACCAAATTGATTTTTTATTTCAGCAAAAAAACTCTGGAATATAGAGAATGACTCAGAACGATCTCTCATTAAGAAAAGTCAAGTACATCTTGAGTAATCATCAATGAAACTAACAAAATAATGAAATCGCAAGGTTGAACTGAGTCTACTAGGACCCCATATATCATAATGAACCAAGGAGAAAGCAGACTCTGCATGACTCTCAACACTACGCGGAAAGGAAGCTCGGGTATGTCTCCCAAGCTGACACGACTCACAATCTAATGTAGACAAACTGGATAAACTAGGCACCATCTTTTGAAGTTTGGATAAACTTGGATGTCCTAAACAACAGTGGATTAGGTCCGGAGGATCGGTAACTAGACATGTTGTGGAAGGACCGAGTGAATTAAGGTAGTAAAGGCCTTCTGATTCACGTCCTGTATCAATTGTCTGTCTCGTACTGCGATCCTGCATAATAAAAGAATCATCAGTAAAATATATACCACAATGGAGGGCACGAGTCAAACGACTAATAGATGCAAGACTAAAAGGACAACCAGGGACATAAAGAACGAAATTTAGGGTGATAAAAGACAATGGGTTAGCTTGTCCAACTCCTTGTGCCTTATTTGATATCCATTGGCTAAAGTAAAAGTGGGAAGAGACTGTGAATATACAGTATTCGACAAAAGTGATTTATTACCAGAGATGAGATTAGAAGCGCCTGAGTCCATGACCCATGGTCCAAAAGTACTAGACTGGGAAACACAAGCAAAAGAATTACCAGCAACAGGAGTATCAGTCTGGGCAACTGAGGCTACTTGTGGAAATGTCTGCTTACTTGCTCGATACTGAAGGAGCTCATTATATTCTTCTTTGGATACAGAAAAACCTTGGTTACCTGTAGTCTCGGTCTGAGCAACGTAAGCATTTTTGGGTGGACGACCATGTAAGGAATAACACATTTCACGAGTGTGTCCAAGTTTGTGACAATAAGAACACTTGGGTCTAGATCTCCCAAAACGACCTCGTCCTCCTTTGTTCTCCATAGTTTGAGACGCCCGAACATCCACTGTCTGCGATGCGAGAACAGAGGAATCAAGTATATGTGATGAGATCACTGGGTGACTTGGTGTTGCAGTAAGGTGGAGTAATCGAGAGAATAATTCATCAACTGTGGGAACAGTCAGACTAGCCAAAATCTTGTCTCGCACTGAATCAAGATCATTAGGAAGTCCAGCGAGTGTAAGAACTAGAAACATCTTTTGTTGTTGCTCTTGTTGTTTTGCCACACTAGCAGAAACTGGCATTAATGTCTCAAATTCCTCCGTGATTGCTTGTACTTGACCCAAGTAAGTAGACATATCTAATTCTTGCTTCTTTAAGTTTGTCATCCGTGATATCACATCATAGAAGCGAGATATGTCATTAGTGTATAAGGTACGAGCCTTTGCCCAAACCAAATAACATGTCTGGAATGGACGAAACAAAGGCATCAACTTGGAATCAATAGAACGCCACAAGATGCTACATAATTGAGCATCAATCTTTGCCCAAAGCGCTATCGCCTTTTCATCTCCTTCGCTAGACTGTTTAATTAGATGATCTTGAACACCTTGACCTTTACACCACAACTCGATAGATGAAGCCCAAGCTAAGTAGTTTGAACCTCCCATTAAAGGTTTCGAAGTAATCATAAAACTAGAGCTTCCAGAACTCATGTTTTTAGACCCAAAAGCATCAATTCCCAAAGACATCGTTGCAAATTATTACCAAATTAGAGAAATAATCAAATGTAATCCCCTGAAACAGAGTAAGGAACAGTGAAACAGAATAAGGAAATACTGTAGCTGTCGGAATATTACTGTAGCAGTCGGAATAGTACTGTAGCTACCGGGAAAATTCAAAGTGGTCGGAATGAAATAAAAACAGTAGGGGTAGGATCGGAATTACCAGACGACCCAACTGTTCTGAAGAAACGTTTTCAAAAAATGGCCGGAAGTCCACTTTTGAAATCACTATTCACGCCGGAAAAATATAAAAGTTGTCGGAATTTGGTGTAACTTGGATAGGTAGGCTCGGAATTGCAAGGGGAACAATTTGTCCTGAAGAGTCGTCGCCAAAAAATGGCCGAAAGGTGGCCCACGTGACGTCGGAACTTCGCTAGAAAATTTTCTTCCGGTGGCGAGTGGCGGCCCATGGAGGGTATTCTGACGGAGATTTTTTTATGGGTTGGTCGCCGGAGCCCGATCTACTTCATGGTGGTGTTGGTTTTTGCACAACACTGACGAAAAGTGGCTTTTTTTACTTGCGGCAGACCTGCCGGAAAAAGGCTTCCGGTCAACTGATTTTCCTTTCCAGAGTCGCTGGAATTTATGCACAGCGATAAATCTCTCACGATTGCTCTGATACCATGTGAGAAGGCACGGGAGAAAATATGATATATTGATATTGTGTGTCTAATGCAATACAAGATGGGCTAATTTATAGCTACTCTATACAAATGGCATACTACACCTATTCCAATGTGGGACAACTACATATCTATATCTAACAAATTTGAACAACGATTTCGCCAGTTTTGTGAAAAACATTAGCGGGGTGCTTTATTTTTGTCTCTTCTGTGTGCTTGAGAGGAGCAAAACCATGCAAGTACACCAGGGAGTATTAAATATTAATTCCCCACAAAGAATTTAATTAGACCAGCATAACTATTAATTCTCCACAAAGAATTTAATTAGACCAGCATTAACTTAATAGCTTCTATTAATTGTTGAAATGTATACTTATATATGTCGCAATATACATTTCTTGATTGTATCTTAACACACGTACATATACATCTCTTGATTGTACCTTAACACTCGTACATACACATTTCTTGACTGTATCTTAATACCCATACCCATAGTCCTATACCCATGAATCCTAAGATTAAAAAATACTACTCCCTCTGTTCCAGTTTATGTGAACCTATTTCCTTTTTGGTTCGTTCCAAAAAGAATGACCCCCTTCTAAAGTTGGAAAAAATTTAGCTTAAACTTTCAACTCTACCCTTAATGAGAAACATTTATAATCACACAAATTCTCTGAACCACTTTTTGACTTGTTTAGGACCACAAATTCTAAAAGTCCTTATTTTTTCTTAAACTCCGTGCCCAGTCAAACAGGTTCACATAAATTGGAACGAAGGGAGCAATACTATATTTATATCAATTCCTAATTACATAATAGTCATTTTTTTATTTAACTTAGTTAATAATAATGGATTTAAATCACATTGTTAATTGAAAAATAAGTTATTTTCCGACAATCTAAAATAATTAATTGTCATATATATTATTCTAATATATACTAATATATTGTTCCCATAACTCGTATCCGTACTCTGACCCATACCCCTAAATCCTAACATTGATGAGATAATGAATCCAACCTCCAGATCCGCATCCATATTGAATACCCCCACCCGTATCCGAGCAATAAAGCTTTCAGGCAGCACATCTTAAAATGTAATTATATGATCTGCTAACTATAGAAAATAAACATCAACTTTTTTCTATGACGGTGTATCAAGACCAGTTTGCATGATCTTTGACTAATCAAACAGGCAGTCTGTTACAACCCACAAGCACGTGTCAGGTAAGAGAATTGGTATTAATCACCAACGAAGAAACTCATAGAGCACACCTTCATAAATGACCAAAAGAACTGTCATGTAAGCAATAATTTTGATTAAGATGAGTTAATATGCTTCAAGAAAGTCTACCTTCTGTCTGTGGATCAGCGATAAATTTCTCTAAGCAATCGACAAAATTTGTACCATTAAAAGGGTCACCACCAATCCCTACACAAGTTGACTGCCCAAGGCCAACAGCAGTTGTCTGAAAAACCTAAATATGGCAACAGAGAGAAATAACTAAACCATTTTCTCATACCAAATAATCACAACCCATAACAAGTAAAAATAATTTGTACAATAAGTTTTCATTCAGATTCAGATAGCTAGTCCAGGATCTTGCTTTTCGAGAGAAAGATACCCAACAAAGATCAAATGCAACAAATAGATTGTTAATGATTGGAGATAATTCTAGTTAGATCAAGCTTTAAGACACTCAAATTTATTGAATTTTAGGCCCGTAGCAAGTCTGGTCGCTGGTGTGTTGTTCGTTTTAGCGATAGGCTCCAAGTGTGATTCTGATTCTAAATTCGGTTTTCTGTTCTGGACATAGGATAATAAAAATTATCTCTGGGTAGTCAATAAATTATCACAGGAATAAATTACCAAGACAATTCTAAGGAAGAAATTTGGTTTTATTTTGCATCCTAACTCAATCAACCACTTGAACACTTGAGTCTTGAACAGGTAAATGCACACATGCAGCAATAAGGTCAATTCAACTTCTATCCATTTGCATCCATTCTTTAGAAAGAAGGCCCTTTAGATTTCATCTGTGATGGAAAATACTATTGCAGTGCATAAATTGAACCCTTCCAACTTCCAAGGGTTACACTTGACAAGGCAAAAACATTCATAATTATCCACATTGAGTTGATACTAATAAAATTGATCTTGACTTCATAAAGCAAGCGAAGAAGAAATTAGCACTTTCTGATACTGAAACAACAATGAGATATAATTAATGAACAGAAGAATCAGTAAATTTTTGCACGATTTGTGAGGATTGATGTGTGCTTCTAAGGCAGCGGAAGATTCAGTAATACAAATGAGGAAGCAGTATGCACAAGACAAGTGTAACAATTTGCTTGAATTGGCTTATCAAAAAGAAAAGGTTAAGTCATTTTGTCGCACATATTGCTTCCTCCTTAGCGTAATATGACCTAAGTGTTATCCAAGTAGAGAATGCAAATCATCTGAGTCAAATTGGTTAAGGGGAAGGGTGCTCCAGAAAGATAGAATACTCATTATCTGAACAATACCACATTTGCGATTCCTCGTGCCAAGAAGTAATACAAAGATGTTCAGTTTTTTGGAGTAAAACTTGGAGATAACAAGGACAAGCTAGATCACAGTTTGAACCCATTGAAGTAGGAAATACAGGAGTAGGACAGAAACCCACACAGTACAGGGATTAAGTGGTGGAAACTATTAGTATCTATGAGCAGATAAGGACAAGGAAATAAATGCGACTTTGATCCACAAGGGTGGTTAATTTTAGTCAAAGGGTGTTATGTAACATTTAAGCAGCCAATAGTGCTTTTAAGGTTGTCTAGTTTTGTCCATTTGAGTTTGAAAATTACATAAGGATGGGCAGTTGGTTATAATTTGATTCTACCAACCTTCTTCGGGTGTTCTACTTATAAATTTATTTAATTATCAAAAAGACATTGTGCACAAGTCGCCCTTCAATGCTCTTTTTTGAAATTATGTACTTATCATAAGAAAAAAGATAATCATTGATAGCTAATAAAGCTTGTAGAGGTAAAACAAATCTGAAAATTGGACTTCTTCCTTCAAGGCATGTTCTGGCTTTAGTTCCGATCAAAGAGAAAAACTCCTGTCCGGCTTTAATTCAGAAATCACAACTCTGGAACTTTTTAACCAATACAGCAGTCACACGCTCCCCTAATGCCTTCTCATTATGAAAATATATGAACGAAAAATATCCAATGTAAAGCATACTATTTGGGTTCCCGATAGTTCATAATTCAGCAACCTAAAATTGACTGCATCCACGAGTTACAGTGACAATAATGAAATCACTTCAAGATTTTTAGATGTTCTAGAGAACAACCAATACACCACAACCCCTCCCTACCACAGTTATNGCCACAGTTATAGTCTTATAGATACATAAAAGGAACAAAGAAAAAGAATGTAAATCTCCATACTTTTTCCCTCCAAGGTGTACACTAGCTTTCTTCACACTTGCCAATCAGACTTCAATATACCAGAATAAACTAAGCTGAGCCGGCCACCAAAATATCTTCACAAACAGTAAAGAAATACTAATAGGAGCAAAAGATACTAGTTAAGTTCGCTGAACTTCGCAAGAAAACCTGCTATATTTCATTAACCCCCTTTTTAGCACAAAACGTGTTGCTACACCAAAAGCCAATGCTCAAAGATTTATTATTTTTTCCTGCAACAGTCTGTGCACTTGTTCTTTATGCGTTTTCACAATCATAAAGGGATGGTAAAACATGGAAGTACAAGCAGGAAATTTCTCTATTTTTGTTCCTTGTAACAGTCAGTGCACCAATCTTCTGACCATTTTCACAATTGTAAAGGGATAGTAACAAACAGAACAACTAGTAGGTATATTCTTAGTGCAATAGAAACAGGCAGACTTAAGAATATGAATTCTGTACGAGATCTTTCAAATATCCAAAAATCTTCAGCCCGTAGTTAGACTAGAGAGGTGGGAACAATATGTGCAATTTAACCTGTCAGCAAACATTCCTAGAGAGAGAATAAATCTTACTGCTTCGTATGTCAATGTACCAGATCGAGAAACAATTCCAATACGTCCAGGTTTGTGAATGTATCCAGGCATAATACCAATTTTGCACTCTCCTGGTTTGATAATACCTGGGCAATTTGGACCAATCAGCCGAGTTTTCGATTGCTTCTTAAGAGCAGCTTTTACACGGACCTGTAGATTCATACAGAAAATCAAACAATAGAAGCAAGCTACTGCAACATTAAATGTGTAATGCTTTTCTTTAGTTCCAAGGTTGAAAAGCAATTGCATGAGCTTATATAAAAATAAATACCCATGAAACCCAATTGAACTTTTATTTCACCCAACCCAATTATAGGATTATGGCATGTAACCACGACAATCTGTCAAATTATATTTCCGTAATTTCTTATTGGATCAAACAGCTTGAATCTAGAGGTTCAACTTTCAGTTTTCAAGCTTGCATCAGCACCAGTAATGCAATTGAAGCCTTTTTACATCCATATACCTCCCAAAAGTATACAACAACCCAGTAAAATCTCACTAGTGGGATCTGGGGAGGGTGGTGTGTATGCAGACCCTACCCCTACCCTGAAGGAGTAGAGAGGTTGTTTCCGAAAGACCCTCGGCTCAAGAAAACAAAAAAAGACAAAAGGAGACAATATTAGTATCACCACAGAAATCATAGGAACTTCCCAAAAGTATATAGTATTAAAACCTAAAAGATAATGTGACATAGTAAAGACATATTTTCCATCCACTTAAACGATAGCCATAACATAAATCAGACACCACAACAAGTTTCTGTATGTCGGCTATAATCCATGTAAACGCATCCAGTTTTCAAGCGAAAAGGTGATTGCTCCATGGAAAATACCCAAAAGCAGATAATACTGAATAATACTCTTTGTCCTAATTTATGTGATACTCTATCTTTTTTAGACAGTCCCAAAAAGAAAAAGAATGGCATCTTTCTATATTTAGTAATAATTGAACTTTAAACTTCTCATTTCACCCTTAATGTGATGATTTATAGCCGCAAAAATTTCTACGGATTGTTCCAGACACAAATTTCAAAAGTCTTTCTTTCATTCTTAAACTCCATGCCCAGTCAAACACCATTATACAAAATGGTATGGACTGAGTACCTAGTATGATGTAAAAGATCAAAAGAAACAGCAGATAACAGAATCCCTGGAGGATCTAACAGTTGAAACATTCAGTTATCAAGCTATTCTTCTTTGAAACTCATCTACTCATACATCAATCCCAAAAATATTAAACAAGTTGCCTTTAAGACAAATTAGTCCTTTAAACCTCACTTGTTCTTACACGACTATGTACACAAGACTTTTACCAGAATAAAAGGACTCCTCGCAAACATCAACATTAATATAAATGTAACAAAAGCTAAACCTTAATCCCAACCAGGTGGAATTGCTTATACAAATCCTTTCCTTTCATTATGCGCTATTCTTAGCTAAACCAGTATTGATTTTGGGAGGTGGTAGATCTTTTGAGGCAACTTCCCTCTACCTCTATGTGATTTAAGGTCTACTTATCTCCTTTTCTCACCTTCAATAATCATAGAGTTCCCACCTAGAACCAATGCATATGGAGGTTTACAAAGGACATGGATCAAACTATCTCAAGTGATTGCTCAATGTATGCTCTAAGTGTGCTATTCCAACCTCTGCTAAATGAGAACAGTTCGTGTCTTGTCCAATCTTATATGACTGTACATCCATCTTATATTCACATATATGACATCAACCTTGTGGATATGTTACGCCATATAAGTCTTACATTCACTTACGTATAATATTGCTAGTCTCACAACCAATCTATAGAACTCTGTTTTTCATATTATTAGGTATCTTCTTATCACATATGACTCCCGTAACTCCTCCAGTTGCATCCATCCTATTTTAAATTGTATATGCTATGTCTGCATCAATCATGTTATGCTCCTACAAAACTAAGCCCAGGCACCTAATTTGATTGCATTTAGACACCATAGTTCTATCTAAAATCTCAATCCACCTTTACTCTAGTCTACTTTACTAATAGAGACTATAATCAAAGTGCATATATTATGTTTTACTTCTACTTATCATAAAATATTTATATTCTTAGAGTGATGCTCCATAATTCCAACTTCCAATTGACTCCCTCTCTGGTTTCATCAAAACCTCATATACTCATCCACGGCCAAAAAATCGCTTGAACTTACTAAAGAAATAAATTCCACAGCAGAAGTAATTGAGAGGTTTGGCATTAGCAGATAATAAAAGAATGTCATACATTATCCATTAGCCAATATATTTTGTCAACTTAGGAGAGACTCAGCTCTATCACCTTTCTCCTTTCGTTTTCTCTAGCAGGAGAAGAACTGCCAACTTTACCAAACAAATTATATGAGCAAAATCAGCTATTCAAGATTTTTAGCCAGAAGGGGATTGAATGAAATGACTTGTTTATCTTATTGATACAACATTCCATTTTCTCAGTGCAAAAGAAACCAAAAGGTTTTATATTTTCAGCCTTGATCACAATCTTAGTTTAAGCTGACATTTCATTTCTGGTCTTTCCGTCTCATTTATGGGAAAAGAGAATTTATTCCAGCTCACCTGTCTTGCGGAGCTTCTACGCTATATGCCATGAACCACACTTCCCAGAAATAAGACCTATTTTAGGCTTGCATCTTCTGAAAAGGCTGCTTTTTGCTAGCATTTCATTCCTTATCTCTCATATTAATAAATCATGCCAGCTAACTGTTGTGGTTTTATACTTTTTCTTCAGGGAAAGTCATCATATCAACCATGGCACGCACTATAACTCTATCCCATACCAAGCAGGTCTTAAGTTGATCAACTCTAGTATAGGTGATATCGAAGGAGTATTCCCTCCACTTAAAATCGATTGTCTGGGGATATCTTATTAAAATATGACATCTGTAATGCCAAAGCACACATTTACATATACCACTTTGCTTCTTAAACTTCACATTACCTAATATAAAGGTTCACTTGAAATCAGCTTTTTCCTAGACTCTTCTCATACCAAAATTGCAGATATACTCTAAATATTTTAGATAGGAAAGACATTTCGGTGTTACTGCTGCTGCTTATTTCCTTGCATTTCATTCCTTATCTCTCATATTAATAAATCATACCAGCTAAATGTTGTGGTTTTATACTTTTTTCTTCCGGAAAAGTCATTTCATATCAACCACCGCATGCACTATAACTCTGTCCATACCAAGTAGGATTTAAGTTGATCAACTCTAGTATAGGATATCGAATGAGTATTCCCTCCACATAAATTCGATTGTTTCAGGATATCTTATTAAAATATGACATCTATAATGCCAGAGCAGACATTTACAAATTATACCACTTTGCTTCTTAAACTTCATATTACCTAAAATGAAGGTTCACCTGAAACCAACTTTTTCCTAGACTCTTCTCATACAAAAAATGCAGATATACTCTAAATATTTTAGATAGGAAAGACATTTGGGTGTTACTGCTGCTGCTCATTTCCTCACAATTTCGAAAGTAGGATTGAGGGTGCTGCTAACCCAACGTCCTAATCTCTTGACCATGATCTTTTACTTTTTCCTTCTCTTGTTTTTTTTTGGGGGGGTTGGGGGGGTTAAGGGTTCAGACATAAATCATGTTTCTAATAACAATTTTTCATCTAGCAAATCCTCTGTAAGAAATATATCACAAAGTGATCATCCACCCACAAGGGAAGAATAGGGGTGAGAGACCCGTATCCATGTCACAACCTTGTAAACTATTTCATCAGTTTTGACGGCTAAACTTCTACAAGTAAAGAAATATACAGATGCAATCCTCTAGATCATAATGCAAAAAAGCGGAACGATTTTTCCCTACGACTGCTCCCATCTTTCCACCCTGTTAATAACTGAAATTGAACCCTGAGTCAAAAAATATAAAAGCAAGATCAACGGGAAACATCCATAAAAATATAGTGCAAAAAGAAGTCAATGATTCAAGCTCATGAAGATTCCAAAAGCATAAAATGGGAATCTCAAACTAACTATAGCAGTTGTTTTTGTTGACAGATATCATATTACTTTCAAACAATTACAAAAACGAAACAGCAAAAAGTGGAGAACATCTCAAGAAACTTTTTTCATCAAGGGGCACCGTGCTCATCGGGGGCTAGAAATGTCTAGCGCATGGCCAGCCACGGGTCTCTGGGCACTTGACTCGAAAATGGCTACCTGGGAAAGAGCAACATACTTGTGGTAGAGTGAAAGCTACCCAGTGTGGAGCCGTCGAGGACAACTGCGGAACATGGTGGTTTGTTATGGTCCATTGCAAGGTATGGGACTTGAGTCCCACATCGGTATTATAGTTTGAGGTTTATATAGCCTTCTGCTATCCCACCTCAATAGACATGTCTTTGTTAGGATCATAAGTTTCAAGGACGGCAATGTAAAACATCTCTAATGATAAACTAGCACTAGATGTCCTAAAATCTAGTGCAAGCGTAGACTAGAATGCATTCACTAGAACAACATCCACCAACATTTTTCCGACATAAGAGAACGAGTTAGATGGCTCAAATTTTTGCACAAAATCGGGGTAGGCCTTAGGGAAAAAAAGACAGTTTAGTGCACAAGGCATCCCCATTCATGCTAGAGTTCGGGAAGTGCCGCACCCCAAGGGGGTTGACGTAGACAGTCTACCCTAATGCAAGCATTAGTGGTTGTTTCCACGGCTCGAACCCGTGATCTATAGCCCTGTCATAGAACAAGTAAAAAGAAAAAAAGCTAAAGAAAGAAATTCTGGGTTTCCAATAACATCATTAGTTATTATATGCGTTGTTTTTCCTCTTTTTGGGTGGGGGAACAAGAGAGTATTTACTAGATAGGACTTCTATCTTACCATATCATGCTGAGGAATCCCCTCCGTTATGCAGACTACTAAGTCCAACTCAGCTTCCATGGCCTCCATAATAGCTGCTGCAGCAAATGGTGGAGGGACATAAACCACTGAAGCATTAGCCTTTGTCTCTGCTTTTGCCTCTTCAACAGTATTAAAGACAGGAAGCCCCAAATGTTCTGTTCCACCCTTCTTGGGGGTCACTCCACCAACCTATTAAGGCGCGCAAAGCATACATGAGGAGTAGAATTAGAAAATCGTATTTCTAGCCTCAAAGCTTTTTATTTTCCTTGAAAATAAGAGCATTCAATCTCAACATTAAGAACAAAACTTTTGAATCAGCTACTGAAAAATTGCATCCTAATCTATTAAAGAATCAAATTGTCGTTCATACAAAATCATTTCATTTTTAACTGCTTCTGTTTTTAATAGATACTCGGTACATAAAATTTAATTTTCTTCATGCACTAGATATCAATAAATAAGAGACCAAAATATAGTATTGTCAAGATTTGAGGAGACCAAATGTTATCGTGAGAGCACAAGTTTCCCATGAAAGATGGTTTAACAGAAATGTTATTCAAAGATGCAAAACATGGAATGCTCTACCTTGAGGGACAAATAGGAAGCAACTACTCGATTGATTATTTTTACCCTTTATTAGAGCACTTGTAACTTACTCTCTTTATAGACCATCAACTAAGCTTTCCTGTATTGTACTAAATCAAAAAAGGTCCAGCCACCCCTTGAATTCAATCATTTTAAACTCTAAGAACTTCCCTGATATAATAGGGAACTATCTTATATAACCACTTCAGTTAGGGTAAGCTCACGAACTAACTGCTCATTTAAGAACATTTACTTTCCCTGTATGCTCCCTTAAAATGCCCCACGACAGCACCACAATGGATAATAATTAACCGCCCTTCTAATTGGTTGATTATAATTACAGTTCTTAAAATTTATTCAGCCTTGATGGAAAGAGTTACTAATACGGGTGGGAGGTAGCAAATACCCGATGGAATAGATGAGGTGCCCACAAGTTAGCCCCAACCCCACGGTCATCAGAAAGAACAGTTACACAAATTTAAATTCTTTGCAAAACTAAAAGCAAGCGATGCATCCCTATAAATCCTCTAATGATTCAACTAAATTCGATTCGGGATCCACAAGACCGTAGCCACATCACAGATATTCAAAGCAGGAAAATAACATTTTGCATCCCAACCATAGATCACATCCCAACATTTGTAATGTGAGATAGGAAAAAATGTGAAGGTGAAAGATGGTATACCATTTTAGTACCATACTCAATGGCTTGTTCGGTGTGGAAAGTACCGTTTTTACCAGTGATGCCTTGGCAGATAACGCGGGTGTTCTTATCGACGAAAACAGCGGGCGGCGGCGGTGGAGATCCAAAGTAGCGGTACTGATGCCACAATGGAGAAGATGGTGAAGCAGAGATCGTGGGACTATTAGGGCTAAGCTTTGAACTCAACTTAGAGACCAGTCTTGTGGCTTGGCGAGCCATGGATGCTGATGCTCTTCCTCCTCTTTTTCTCTGTAATAAAAAAACCAGAGCGAGGGCCTACTTTTGGTGGCGTGGTGTTTAGGTTTTGTGTAAAAATCAGTCAAAAACAGAGCAGCAAAGCGAAGTGTCTTTTTCTCTCAGTGGGGAAAAGGCCGAAGTGGGCATGCCAAAATGGAAGCAACTTCAGAGCGAAAGTCGTGGGTGTGACCCATGAGTCGGGTCATACGTTCGGGTCAATAAGCTTTCCGGGGTTCAAAAAATGAGTGTTTTTTTTTTTTTGCCTTAGTTTGATTTTCCATATGTTTTGTAATATATATATATATATATTGTTATAAATATATTATATTATGGATGTTTATTTAGTACTCCGTTGTAAATAAGCTTCTTATCCATATGGGACTCCACCGTAAATATGTTTATCTATTTAGTACTCTATTGTAAATAAGTTTCCTGAAGAAGCTTATCACTTCGGTACCCGGTTATGGATAAATATTACCCCGGTAGAAGATTATCCATACCAGGTATAATAAGCTTATCCTTTCAGTATCCAGTTATGAATAAACATTATCACCGGTAGAAAATTATCCATATTGGGTATAATAAGCTTATCCTTTCAGTACTCCGTTATGGATAAACATTGCTC